CCTCATAGACAGCGGCAGTTCCTCTGATTTAATCAGCAATAAGTGCTTGGAAAAGCTCAAGTACAAACCTGACTGCATACATCCGGTATCTCACCCTTTAGTGGGGTTTGGAGGAAGCGTTGTACACCCAGTGGGACGAGTGGATCTACCCATCCGTCTGGGTGAGAAAGGGGAGGGCCGTCACATGGTTGTCCGGTTCTTAGTTGTTGAAGAGCTCTTAGCCTATAACATGATCTTAGGGTAACCCACCCTAAACAATTCCAAAGCTGTCATCATTCAATCTCTCATGCTGCTCAAGTTTGAGAAGGATAATGGGACAGTCGACTCCCTAAGGGGAGACCAGAAAATGGCATGAGAGTGTTACCTCTCGGATATTAAACCCACTATGGCGACTACTGGCGCATGTGGAGAGAAAATGGACCTTGAGCAAATCAAGGAGGATGCGCCTGCCCAAGCATCAGGCGGTAAGAAAAGAAAGGCCGCCCAACTGGGGGCCAAAAGAAAGGAAAAGTGATAGCAATCATTGACCGAGGAGCGGTCAGACGAGTTTCTCCCTTACCCGGCTGGTGAACATGTGGATGTCGTCCTGGACGACTCACGCCCTGACCGAACAGTTTAAGTTGGGACGACTGCTCTTGCGGCACTTGGTGATAATTTTTTACCAACTCTTGAAGGAATTCTATGATATTTTTGCATTTGAGGTACATGAGATGCCAGGTATCAGTCTAGACTTGGCAGCATATAAGTTAGTTGTGGATCCCAAAAAGAAGCCGGTCAGGCAAAAGCAACGGAACCATGGTGAAGAAAGAAGCCAGGCGGCTGCCGCCGAGGTTAAAAATCTACTTGATGCAGGGTACATTCGGCAGTGTTATTTCCCTGACTGGGTTGCAAACGTTGTGCTCTTGAAAAAGCCAAATGGTACCTAGCGCATGTGTGTGGACTACACAAAATTGTATAAGGCGTGCCCCAAAGATAGTTATCCATTGCCCAAGATCGACAGTCTAGTCGATTCTACAACCGGCCACGCCTTAATGAGTTTAATGGACGCCTACTTTGGTTTCCATTAGATTCCTCTATGGAAGAAAGACTAGGAGAAGACGACCTTTGTCACAGATCAGGGCCTATACTGTTACATGGTCATGTCGTTTGGTCTAAAGAACGCCCCGACCACTTTTCAGAGAATGATAAACATGGTCTTCTTTGATCAAATTGGGAGGAACGTCGAGGCATACATAGATGATATGATTGTGAAGTCCAAACTCCAGACGGACCATTTGACAGATCTCCGAGAAACATTCACCACATTCAAGCGGCACCATGTCATGCTTAATCCCAAAAAGTGTGTTTTTGGAGTTGAGTCTAGGAAGTTCCTCGGATTTCTTATCAATCAAAGGGGCATAGAGGCTAACCCCGAAAAAGTGCAGGGGGTCAAAGACATGCAGTCGCCCCGCACAGTCCGAGAGGTCCAGAAATTAACAGGTTGTCTAGCGGCCCTAGGGAGATTTCTCAGTCGATTAAGCGACAAATGCCTTTATTTCTTTCAGGCCATTAAAAAGAAAGCTGTTTTTGAATGGGGGCCGGATGCTGAAGCGGCCTTTTGATAAGTGGCATTTGTGCCACTATTTAGATCCTCTTTTTGCGGTATTTTTCTACGTTTCTCACTTGTTTGTACCTCTTTTACTCCATTTTCATGCATTTTTGTGTATCACATGCTTCATGGGGTTGTTGTTGGTTTTGTTGCACTTTCAGGCACAAGGATAACACTTTAAGGCATTTGATGATTGGCGGTGAATTTGGAAGCAAGAAGAGGAAGAGATGAAGCTTATGGCCATGTTGAAAGAAGAATGAGGAAAGGAGCAAGGTAGAGTGCCTCGGAGGTAATTTAGAAGAGTTTTGGAAGGAATTTTGTGCAAGGGTCAACTTCAAATGACCATAACTTTTGATCTACTCAACCTTTTAAGTGATTCAAATTGGAGATTCAAGTTTGTCTCAAGAGCTTTCCAACGACTGGTCACATTCCTTATTTCGACGAGTAACAAAGAAGTTATGGTCTTCTGAAACAAAGCTGCTTCTAACAGGAAATTCTGCATGGCCGTGCTAGATGTTGCACGACCGTGCAGAATGTGCACGACCGTGCCAAATGTGGCACGACCGTGCAAGACTCTGTTTTAGCTTTTTGAAGTTTCTGCTCAGTCTGACCTGTATCTGGGTCTTTTTCCTCGTTTTCTCCGTCCTTTCTATTTGGGCATTGTATAAATACCCTTTGGCTTCTTTATAAAGGAGAGTTTTTTTTTTCTCCTCTATGAGGGGGAGGAACCTTAACTTCTCCATCATCTTCGCACCTAAATTAGCTTAGATTAAGCTTAGTTATAGTTTTAATTCTCGTTTTTATCCTTTGTAATGTAAATTAGGGGTAGTTTAGAGAGAGAAAGTGAGGAGCTTTAATGGGTTTTTGAGAGGTTGAAGATGCTAATGGTGACATTGGTGTTTTCATTTCTCCTAACAATTCAATGAGCATTCCTAACTCTATCTCAATTTATTGCTTTCTTTAATTCTTGCTTTTCTTAATTTCTTGCATGATTAGTGTAGTTGATTAGATTAATTGCTCTTCTTTTCCGTTCTTCAATGTTCTTGATTGTTGGTTTGATTTTAGATTATTTGATTAGCTAGTTTTAACCATGCTTAGTGAGTAGTTCTTTTAGTTAGGGGTTGGGTGAAACCCAACCAAAAGGTTATTTAAGTGATTTTGGGGGATATCTTAGTGATTGATTGTAATTAAATTGATTATATGGGATTGCTTGTTAGTTCTTCATAATAGGAGTAGCTAACCTTGATTATTGAACTTGATGGCATGAAATGTTTGGTTTGACATGGAAATGTGAGTTGAATGTTTCATTACCTATTGCAATTTGACTATGTATCACTTGTTGCTAAGTTAATGAGGAATCTAAGCTTAGTAATATGAGTTGTTTTCCTATTGCTTGAAGTTGGTCTTACATGTAGTCCTTACTTTCTAAAATCTTTGTACTCCCAATTTTCTTGATTTCCATGGTTGAGTGAACCCCATTCCCTAGTGTCTTTATTTCTTAGATTTTAATCCTTGGTTTGTTAGTTTTCCTTTTTATGTTAGTTCACTCATCCCATCTCTTCGACCTAGCTTAGTTGGTGGTAGTGTTGATAGTGTTTATGCCGTCTCTGTGGTTCGACCCTCTACTTATCACTAAACTTGTTAAGTGTAGGTGTAGGCTTTTAAATATTGTTTGGTTGAGGGTAGTTAGTCCAACGACCTAATTATCCCTCCATCACCTTCCAAAAGCTGGTCAGCCCTTTGCCCAAAGAAGTGCTCTATATGTATCTAGCAATGTCTAACCATGTTGTAAGTGTCGTCCTCCTTGCTGAGAGGGACAGCTGCCAGCTCCCGGTCTATTTTGTCAGTAACGTGTTGAAGAATTCCGAGTTGAGATACCCCCTAGTGTAAAAATTTAGCCTTGCCCTCTTCATGGCATTAAGAAAGTTGAAGCCCTATTTTTTAGCGCATCCATGGCAGTTAGCTTTTGCTGAATTTATAGTAGAGATGACTCGATTCTCTGATTCTCAAATTCCAGACCAAGTCTGGAAGGTTTATGGGGACGAGAGCTCCACTTCGAATTGTTGTGGTGCAGGCGTCATATGTCAGTCGCCAGAAGGCGACAAGTACGAGTATGCTCTACGTTTAAACATCCAAGCCTCGAACAACGAGGCGGAATATGAAGCTTTATTGGCCGGTATTTGCATGTGCAAGGCGGCGGGGGCAAGAAAAATAGACGCTTGCTCTAACTCACAGTTGATAGTAAGCCAGTACAATGGCGAATATTTGCAGGCGGTACGACAGGTGGTCGGGTCACTCAAAGAGTTTCATTTATCTCAAGTAGGGGTGTACAAAAACTGGACCGGACCTGAACCGACCTGATCCGGACCGGACCTGACCCGGACCTGTTGATTCAGGTCCGGTCCCGGTCCTAAAAAATCAAGGTTCCCGGTTCCGGTCCGGACCCGGTCTAAACCCAAGGTTTTCAGGTCCGGACCTGAAACTCGGGAAAATTGTATTTTTTTAAAAAAAAAAAATAATAAATAAATCAAAAATCAAATCAACGCTGCTTTCTGCTTTGCTTGAGTGACGAACTGACAATTCTGTTCTTTTTCATTTCTAACCCTAAGTCCCTAACGCTATCTCCAAGACTCCAATCTCCAAACTCCCTGGCTGTCTCCCCCTCTCCCTCACTCTCACTATCTCTCAGCCAATCAGCCCAACTCCCACCGCCAACAGTGACACCTCTCTGCCTTCCTCACTCTCTCAGGCGAAGCCCAGGCGCCCACCGCATGAGACAGTTGCCGCGCGATTCTCCATTTTTCCGGTAAGTTATTTTTTTTAATGTAAATCTAAATTGTCTAATTATGTTTGGGTATTTTGTATTCGAAATAATGAATTAAGTGTTAGAATTTATATGTTTATTCATGTTTCAATTGCTTTTAATGATTGTTTGATGTTTGCATGTTGAATTTCTTTTTTTTAGTTCATTTGTTTCGAATTTATGTTTTTTTTTTTTGGTTTTCTTGAGTTTAGGGTTTACGGTTTTAGGGTTTAGGGGTTAGAATTGATAAGAAGTATGGTTTATTTTCGAATTTATGTTTTTTTTTTTGTTTTTTTGAGTTTAGGGTTCAGGTTTTAGAATTGATCACACTATCACAGATTCACAGCCTTTGAATCTCTGTTTAGGCCAAATTTAAATAAATAAATAAATAAACGTAGTGCATGATTTGTAAGAGACTCAGATGATTAAATAAGTTGGCTAACTTGTATCAAAATTGATAAGACATGGTTGTATGCAGTTAAGAATTCATATTTGAGTTGGCTAACTTGTTTAGAATTGATAAGACATAGTTGTATGCAGTTCCGGGATTCTTATTCTTGTTCTTATTCTTGCAAACTTGCCTAGGGCTAACAAGGGAGTGGAAGAACCACAGATTCTTATTCTTGCAATGTAAGTTGCTGTTAAATTTTTTTATAAAATGGTATATGTATATAATTGTTACTTTAAAATTACTTATATTGTCTATAATTATATTGTAGATGGAGAGCTCTCAATCCAAACGGTCTGCTTCTTTTTCTGAACAAACGTCATAACCACTTTCTAAAAAGGATATGGAAGAATTGCAATCTACTTTGCCTCTTGATAAGAAGCTAAAAGCGGGGCGGGAGTATATATGGAACAGAAAAAGTAAGAGGAAAGCTGAGTATTGGAAATATTACTTAGAGTACGTCGAGAATGGAAAACTACGAGCTGAATGTAAGTTTTGTCCAAAAACTTTTGTTGCTGATGGTAATCTTAATGGTTCCAAAAATGTTAAAAATCATGCAGAATCATGTCTCGGTAATCCTATTAATATAGAAAAAGAAAAGGGCAAAGAAAAGCAAACTAAATTGTATTTTGATCAAGAACATGAGAGTGGTAAATTAAAGTGTGGGAGTAGGATTATTAACTTGAATGATGTTAGAGAGGCATTGGTTCACATGATTATTGTTGATGAGTTACCATTTAAGCATGTGGAAAAACCCGATTTTAGGCACTTTGTGCAAGTTGCATATCCACAATTTCACATTCCATCTCGTGTTACCATTGCTCGTGATTGTTTAAAGTTGTATTATAGTGAAAAAGATAAATTGAGAGAAATGTTTAAGACATGTCAATGAATTTCTGTGACAACTGATACTTGGACTTCAATACAAAGAATTAATTATATGTGTCTTACAGCTCATTTCATTGATAATGACTGGAAATTAAATAAAAAGATCATAAATTTTTGTCCAATTTCTAGTCATAAAGGAGAGGCTATTGAAAAAGCAGTTGAGGCATGTTTAGAGTATTGGGGTATTGATGATAAACTTTTTACTGTCACTGTTGATAATGCTTCTTCAAATGATGTTGATTGTGCACACTTGAGTATAATGGTTAGAAGAACAGGATGTATTAATGATGGAAAAAATCTTCATGTTAGATGCATTGCTCATATCATTAATTTAATTGTGTGGGATGGTATTAAAGAACATGGTGTGTGCATTGATAGAGTTAGAAATTCTGTGAAATATGTTAAGAATTCCCCTGCAAGAATACTTAGATTCAAAGATCTTGTGCGAAAAGCAAACATAAATTCAAAATCTTCTTTATCCTTTGATGTCCCCACTCGTTGGAACTCCACATACATAATGTTGGAAACGGCTTTGAAGTTTTGACGTGTTTTTAGTGGGTTATCTCTTCCTGATGGAGAGGATTTGAATGACAATGAAAGGCCTCCCGAACCTGAAGATTGGGAAAAAGTGGAGAGGTTAGTTTTGTTTCTAGAGGGGTTTTATCTGTTGACTAAACGAATTTCTGGTTCCCATTATGTGATAGCTAATAAAGGTTTAGGAGAAATTGCTTCTATATATGATATGTTGAATAATTGGGAACAAAGTGAGGACTTGAATTTTCAAGCTATGGCCATTGCAATGAAAAAAAAGTTTGATAAGTATTAGGGGGATGTAGATAAGATGAATAAATTCATTTATGTTGCTCTTCTTCTCGACCCTCACTCTAAGATGGTCATTGTTGAATTGACACTAACGGATATGCATGGACCGGAAAAGGGTACAAAATTTGCTAATGATGTGAAGGAGTTCGCTTACTCTTTATTTGACGAATATAGAAAAATGTATGCTACTTCTAATATTCCAGATTGTGGAGATAATATGTCAATGGATATTGATAATAGTAAAGGAGTGGGTTCCGATTATGTGAGGAAACTAAAAGAAAGAGCAAAACGATTGAAGGGGACAAGTGGGTATGCGATAAGTGAGTTGGATAGGTACTTAAATGATCAATTAGGGCCGAAGGAGGAAGAAAAAGATGCATTGACATGGTGGGGTAAGAATGGTCAGCGTTATGTGATTCTTAATCGCATGGCACATGACATACTAGCCATCCCATTATCGACCGTTGCATCGGAATCTGCTTTTAGTACGGGAGGTCACACTCTAGATCCATTTCGGAGTTCTTTAACTCCTAAGGTAATGCATCGTTATATTTTTATTTTATAAAATCAAGTTTGCTTATATCTTAATATGACTTTGTTTATACATATTTGTGTAATATTTTTGTATTGAAGATGGTTCAAGCGCTACTTTGCACACAAGATTGGCTTAGAGCTAAGGAAGTGCCAATTGTTGATGTGGAAGAAAATTTGAAAGAGTTAGAGGAAATAGAGAAAGGTAGTAATAATTTTATGTACTTGAAATTTTGTTACACCAAATTTATTATTTCATTGTTATCAATCATTAATATATTCTATATTGTATTTTATTTAGAGGTGCAACGTGGTGAATCTAACGATGTAGACGATGAAGTTGTTTTCGTGGACTCATTAGTGTGAATCACGCGATCAAAGGGAAAACAACTCGTTGGAGAATTTATGTATTTCTAGTACTTGAGACTTTGAGAGTTGAGACTTAAGAGAATTTATGTAATGTTATGAGTTTTCGTGGACTTATTTGTATTTTCGGTGGATTCAATTGTATTTTTGGTGTTTGAGAATCGGGACTTTATAGACTTTATTTAGTTTTGTGATTGATAATTTTGGTTTGTATGTAATTATTAAATTATGCAACAGGTCTAAAAATCACAAAACAGGTCCATATGCCGGTCCAATAGGTTTTTTATTAAAAAAAAAAACGAAAAAAACACAAAACAGGTCCATTCAGGTCTAAACCTGGACCGGACCTGATTTTTCAGGTCTGGCCCGAAACCGGACCTGATAATTCAGGTCCGGTCCCCGGTCCTCATAATTACCCAATTCAGGTCCCCGGTCCAAACAGGTCCGGTCCAGGTCCGGTCCGGTTTTGGACCGGTGTACACCCCTAATCTCAAGTACCCAGGTCCGAGAACAACCAGGCGGATGCTCTCTCAAAGCTGGCATCTTCGGCCTCCTATGACACGCCAAAGACTATTTTCTAGGAAGTTATGGAGAAAGAAGTATTGAGGAAGAGCCTATTGGAATTATGGATAGAATTTCAACCTGGATGGACCTAATCAGAGCCTATTTAACAGCCGGCACCTTGCCGAGTGATCAATACCAGGCGGCCTTACTAAGAAAACGGGCGTCCAACTTTGAAATGTGTAAATGGGAACTTTTCAAGAAAGGGCATCTTTAGCCCCTCTTGAAATGTGTTACCCCCGAAAAAGGACGAGAGGTCTTAGAAGATCTACATTCAGGGTACTGCGCTTCCCACATAGGCGGCAGGTGGCTTGCTCAAAGAACCAGGCGGCAAGGTTACTTCTGGCCTACATTGGAAGCTGATGCCATGGAAATGGTTAAAAAATGTGACAAGTGCCAAAGGTTTGGCAAGTTAATCCATCGTCCGGCCACAGACCTCACGACCATCCATAGTCCCATACCCTTCGCCAAGTGGGGCATGGATATCCTGGGTCCCTATACGCCTACTATAGGCGGCTGGCGGTACATACTGGTTGTAGTTGACTACTTCACCAAATGGGTGGAGGCTGAAGCAGTTAAGGGTATCAAGACGAAAGATGTGATCTTGTTCATCTGGAAAAATGTCATCACTCGGTTTGTTGGTGCATGGACAAGTAGACGACGAAGATGGTTTTTCGGTCGTGCTTGCATGCACTATTTTGTCTATGACATGTAATTAAACTAATGTTAGTGTTTCATCATGCTTTTGAACATAATATGATCTATGGTGTTGGACACCTAGTTATTTTGCTTATAAGACTTTGACAATAGTTGTTTCAAAATTGTCTTGCAAATATATGTTCAATGGAAATTGCATGTTTTACATATGATTAGACAAAAGTTGATACCGCTACTTAAACTAAGACCACTAAGAATTCAACTTCGTTAACAAACATAAATAGATATGGCTATATCTACTTAATGTCAAATAAATCTGAATCCTTTGAGAAATTCAAAGAATTTTAGAAAGAAGTTGAAAATCAACTTGGCAAGAAAATTAAAGCGCTTCGATCGGATCGAGGTGGCAAATATTTGAGCCATGAATTCGACAATCACTTGAAAGAAAATGGTATTCTTATAGAGTTAACACCTCCTGGAACTCCCCAAATGGAATAGAGTATCTGAACGGAGGAATCGAACCTTGTTAGACATGGTTCGATCAATGATGGGTCTTAGTGAACTTCCTATCTCTTTCTAGGGACATGCGCTACAAACCGCGGCACTAACACTGGACCGAGCTCCGTCAAAAGCTGTTGAAAAGACTCCATACGAATTATGGACTAAGAAACCTCCTAGGTTGTCTTTTCTCAAGATTTGGGGATGTGAAGCATATGTCAAGCGATTAATTCCGGACAAACTTCACCCCAAATCGGATAAGTGTTTCTTTGTGGGATATCCAAAAGAAACTAAAGGGTATTACTTTTACAATAAATCCGAGAACAAAGTGTTTGTTGCTCGTGATGGTGTCTTTTTGGAGAAGGAACACCTTTCCAAAATGACAAGTGGGCGGAAAATCGAACTCGACGAAGTTCGAGAGGACGAGCAACAATGTCAAACTGATAAAACTGACAATCTAAGTGCTTTAGAAGCAGCTGAGAAGATTGGTCAGAATCAAACAGACAATGTAAATGCTCAACCTATTACCCTTCGTAGGTCGCAACGGAAGAGATCTCAACCAGACAGATACCTTGGTATTGTCATAACCGATGATCAAGATATCCTAGTTATGGATGGTGATGAGCCAGCGACATACAAGCAAGCTATAACAAGCATCGACTCTGCTAAATGGCAAGAAGCTATGAAATCCGAGATGGACTCCATGTCTGAAAATCAAGTCTGGGACCTGGTGAATTTTCCCGAGGGTTACACACCCATTGGTTGCAAATGGATCTTCAAATTGAAGACAAACAAGGATGGAAATGTATCGATATACAAGGATAGACTGGTGGCAAAAGGTTATAGGCAAGTCCACGGGATTGACTATGATGAAACCTTTTCACCGGTTGCAATGCTAAAGTCTGTCCGGATTATTCTACCAATTGCTGCACATTACGATTATGAAATATGGCAAATGGATGTCAAAACCGCCTTCCTAAATGGGATTTTGGAAGAAACTGTTTACATGACACAGCCAGAAGGTTTTTTCAATCTGAGCAACGTTGGTAAGGTTTACACGCTTAAGAAGTCCATTTATGGACTAAAGCAAGCCAGTAGGAGTTGGAATCTGCGATTTGATGAAGCCATCAGCAAGTTTGGCTTTATCAAGAATTCAGATGAATCTTGTGTATACAAGAAGGTCAGTGGGAGTGACATCGCATTCCTAGTCCTATATGTCGATGACATACTGCTCATTGGAAACAGCACAAAATTACTGGAGTCCGTAAAGGGCTGGTTGGGAAAGTGCTTTTCCATTAAGGACTTAGGAGAGGCACAGTACATATTGGGCATCAAGATCTACAGGGATAGATCTAAGAGGATGATAGGATTGAGCTAGAGTACTTACATTGATAAAGTACTGGCACGATTCAACATGGAGAATGCCAAGAGAGGGCATCTACCCATGTCCCATGGCGTAACTCTCAGCAAGAAACAGTAACAACAGACACCTATTGAGCGAGAGAGAATGGATCAGATTCCATATTCTTCGCTAATTAGATTGATCATGTATGCCATGATATGTACTGTTTCGGGGTTTTCTGATGTCCTGCGGGAGAGTTACAATTCCGAGACTGGAACCGGACGCCTGTACCTGCAAAATAACGGAGACTCCTGTGAGCTCTGCCTCCAACGGTCAAGTTAGTACCTGATTAAGGAGTAATTAATGCGGAAATTAAAGTAATAAGGTCTCTCTAGGTGAGAGTGTTTAATGTAGGTAATCTGCTTTGTTAGCGAGATCAGCCGGTTATTAGTGTGTTCCGTAATGTTTTTCGCGTGTCCCCTTAATGAGGATTAAGTGAGGTATTTATAACCTTGGGAAACGTGTCCATCCTAGGTTTAGGTAAACCTAGGGCTGATTGGGCTTCCCTCGGAAGTTGGGCCTGGGTGGCCGGGTTCTCCATTAGGCATGGAGTATGCCACATGTCGTGACATAACAAGTCCAAGGTGGACGAATAAGCGCGTGCCACGTGGCAAGTCCTGACAGTTCCAACTAGGAGACACTTGGCAGGACCTGATTGGTCCACTTGGCGCATTCCGATTGGTAGGAGCAAAATCCCCTAATCATTTTCCCCTCACAGGTGGCACGTGACTGGTCACGTGTTACCTGTGACAGGTGTCGCACAGTAACGGGCGACGACCTGCTACAGGTGTTAGTCGGCGAAAGGACGAGAGATTTTCCCGCCCAAATTTTGAATTCTGGAAGTGACCCTTCGCCTTCTCACTTTGAGAACTATTTGAGAACATTCGGACCCCTGAACTTGCTCTGACATTTTGGACTTTTTCTGCCTACCGCCTGTTCTGACAAGCCGACTACACAGGATTTTCAGAACTTCATCAACCG